GCTTTCTTGTAGTACCAGGTCTCATGGTTGAGGGCATTTGGAAACACAGCAGCAGAAGGATAAAGCCATGGAGTGAGTTGGTAGAGGCAACTTGAGCATGGAAGCCAGAATGCATTTCTCATTCTCTCAGTGTGCAACCTGCAGTGTTACAACTGAGGGTTTGCATGCCAGTTGTGTCTATCCTGAGTCTTCACTGCTTAACCCTACTCTTAGAAACAAATCTAAAAATCTTCTCTGAAGTCACAAGAAGAGTTATGAAACAGCCCAATACCAGTAGTTGAGAGCTGGACCCATAGACAAAAGAGAATAAATAAAGAGGCATATAGATCTAGGATTGCACAGGGGACTTGCTGACAGAAGAGTGTGGCCATAAAATCAGATTACTGCAATTTGAGTCAAAAGGAGGACCACAGAAAGTCAGAACAAACATTTTGTCCATGTTAGAATGTGCCTTGCTTCAGTAGTTACTTTCCTCCTGTCTGTGACCAAGTGTCTGACAAAATGAAACATTTAGGCTTACAGTTTAAAAGTGTGCTCTGCCATGGTGGGGCAGACATAGGGGTAGGGATGGCAGGTGACTGTCAACAAAAGATAGTGAGAATGCGTACCCACATAGGGAGGTATCAGGAAACGCTCATGGGACAAAGGCCCAGGTAAGGTTATATCCTTCAGTGCCCAGGTCTATTTGCAAAATATTCCACAGTTTCCTAAAGTGACACTTCCAGCTGGGCACCAAGGGTTCAAACCCTTGAGCCTGTGGTGAGCATTTTACTTCAATCAAAACGTTAGTTTACATTAGCTTGTATCAAAGCTAACTGACATATTCTTGTATCTGGCAGTGTCAATAGTTTTAGCGATATGTATTCAACTCTGATGGTTTTTCTTCTTAGAGCATAACGAGAGATTACACGAATAAAATCAAGGTTATTCTGCAACAGTTATGTTAGATACAACTCAAGAAAGCTGAAATCATGTAGATTGCAATCTTTCCCTACACTTACCACCACTGTGGTCTCCAGTGAGAAAACACATTTCCCCTATAGCCATAAATGCCTCTTGGTTTGAAGTTTATTTTGGGACTTTCGTTTTATTTATCAAATCCTAATGCTCAGCTACACATGATTATAATTAGAAAGCATCTTGTACTTTCCGAAACCACCTAGTGCATCTTAAATAGTAGGAGACAAGATGAACTCTTGACCACAGGGCGACTCAGTTAGACAGTGAGAGGACATCTTACATTGCAGACATTGTTGGCATCATCTGTACTGCATATATTATATTTATTTCAAATGTAGGTGTTTAAGTATACATTGTACACTTCTTTTCGTGATGTGGCACCACAATACCCCATGACACATAAACAAAGAGAAATCATGCTTTTTATCCGATTGGGTAAAGACTGCATTCTATAGCCTTTACATGGAAATGAGGGCTGTGATAGAATTCATGTAATGTCTTGTTCGCAGTCACAGATGCATTTAGATTTGAAAAGTGTTTCAACATTTTAGATTCAGGTCCTTTGCACCATGTGGGTGGAATGATACTAGTTCATGCCAAACAGTCATCTAAATATTCCCATGTAATTCGCTCTGCAGTTTGGGGGATGTCCTCTGTTTCTCTGTGAAGCATGGGTCCTGACATTGATGGGGTGCAGAGTCATCAGTAGACTGTGACGGAAAATCCACCATAGCTCACTGCAGATATATCATCCTAGTTATTTGTGCCCACAATGCTTGCCATTATAATTATATGATGTAATAAAAGCTGTGCACATAAACCATTGACATCTGAGTATAATAAGAAAGCTATTTCAATAAACATTAAAGTTAAATTCTACAGTGACATCTTTGGATTAAAAAATACACTTTGTTTTGATTCTTTTTGAGTTAAGGATGACCTACCAACTGTATAGTATTTTTTCTTTGTTTTATTTTGTTTTGTTTTAGCTTGGAAGGAAATTGGGTTGTAGTTTCAAAGTTTTAAACTGTTATAAGCAGATTCATGAACAGATTTATCAGGAAATATATAGGAAGTCCTGCAATCAATGCATTTTACCAATGAGAAATATGCTAATTTATTGGTGAAGCATATAAATTCAAGGTGTTGCAGAAAGTGTTTCCTTCCTCCTCCTGATGCAAACACAATTTTCAAACATCATCATCATCATCAACAACAAGAAAACTTTGTTAAGAAGCTTGAATTGGTTATGAGAGGACTGGTGAATGTGGAGAATGAGGCAAAGATTGATAGCACAATTTGTTCAAGTTTTGAGGCACTGGTTGTATGAGTTGCCGTTGAACACTGTCCTAACTCTTTCTGTGCATGCTGCTGGGTGTAGACAGTGCACGTTCAGTCATCTCACTGATTGCTAAGCACACTTCTTGAATATAAAAGTGTCAGCAGGATTCAGAAAGATACAGTGGATAAGATAGCACCAGACCACAAAACTGTAACCTATTCAGTGCCGGTCTGGCTTTGCAGAGAATCGTCTCTGGCCAACCATGGATCTGGTTATTACTTATGGTCCTAAACCATCCATTTTTTTTTTACCCACATACCACAATAATACTGTGTTGCACAGAAAAATAGAGAAAGATCAAAGCAATGGAATTCTTAGGTACAAATTGCTAATAACTACACACACACACACACACACACACACATACACACACACACACACACACACACAATGTTTACCAGTTTTAGTCATCCGGGAAGTAAAAGCAAATCAAAATAACATTTAGATCTCATCTCACCACTGTAAGAATGGCCCTCGTCAAAGCAGTAGAAGACAGATATTGGCAAGGATACAGGATAAATAAGCCGTTCTGCACTACTGATGGGGAAGCTAACTGGTGCAGGCCCTGTTGCATGGAAATCCGTATGGAATTTTGTCATTTAAACTAGAACTTCCAAGGCTGGAGCAGAAGCTCTTTCAGAGGACCCAAGTTCAGGTCTCTGCACCTAAACTGGATGGCTCACGACTGCCAGTAACTGTAGTTCCAGGGAGCCTAATGTCTTTCTGGCTTCTGTGACTACCCACACACACATGATACATTCACATGCACACACACACACACACACACACACACACACACACACACACATGAATAAATAGTTTAAAGAAAAACATTCAGGGGTTGAAGAAACAGCTAACCAGTTACTTATTGTTCTTTCAGAGAACCCAAGTACAGCTCCCAGCGCCCACATCAGACAGCTTACAACTACCATGAACTCCAGCTCCTCAGGATCATAAAACCTCTTCTGACCTCCATGGACACCTACATTCCAATGTACCCGCCTTCAAAATGAATATTCACACATACACATATTAAATAAAGTAAACATTTACTCTAAAAAAGACTTTCTATAATACAGCTTTACAAGGTCAGCTTACTGTAGCCATAGCTGTATATCCATGGCTCCTTAAGCAGTATTCAGTAATCAAACTATATAATCAACCAAAGGGCCCACTGATGCGTGCACAAAGGAGGAAAGGGTGGACTATATACACAGCAGGGTCTTACTAAGTCATAAAGAGGAATAAAATTGTGTTCTCTTCAGGAAAATGAATGGAATTGGACATCATTATAGTCAGCAAAATGAATCATACTCTCAACAGAACGCATCACATTTTCTCTCACATGTGTCATTTAGAGGGTGATGAAAGGATATGAAAGTAAAGGGAGAATTATTAAGAATGTGGACAGGGAAATATGGGGAAGGAGAGAACTGGGTAATAGAGGGGTGAGTGTGATCAAAGCATCAAAGTACAATGTGTTTAGTTATGGAAATGCAGTAAAGAAATCCATTAGCAATTAACATATGCTAATTTAAAAAGAAAGAAAAATTTGAAACCTCACTGCAGACCTATTCAAAGGAGAAACCATGACCACATTAAAAAGAGACCTTTTTCTTTTTTTTAATTTTGGTGGTTAGAATTTTTGACTTTGAAGTACTTTTTTTCATTCGATTTACAAAGAAATTCCTGGTGCTGAACACTTTGATTAAGGGCGTGCATTCTACACTGGAGCTTGCTTAGCGATGAATAGGAATATTTATCTGGAATCGAGTCTAGTAATTTTAAAATAAAGTGAGGTATTTGACTTAGTGTTTTACAAATATTTCTTGGATTCCATCAACTCTTAATTCCCTTTTTGTAGTACTACAGTTATATTCTGCTATTCTGTTCTGTTTACGAAGTAGGTGAAATTCAGAAAAACTATCTATTGCCTCTGGAGAAAACAAAGCTTTCTCTCTTGATGAGTTGATGACCTAACTTGAAAGCTAAAGCACATAGCACAGACCAAGGTATTCCCATAGGTTAAGACGGGCTCACTAAGCTTAACTCTACATGTGACAAAGAGATACAGAAAAGTTAAGCCCTTTTTCTCAAACCACTGCAGTGAAGTACACATTAAAAGTGCAAGGATTTGACTCCAGGTCTAACATACTTTTAAGATAAACATAAAATAGTGGATTATAAAATATACCCATGGTATATGAGAACTATAAACTAAGTGCCCATAATTTTCAGCTAGACTGACTATTTTTAATGAATTTAGTTATAAACTTATTTCTATGACTCTTTAATTTTTTTATATTTTTGATTATGAATATTTTTTTATATTTTTGATTTGATTATGATTTTTTTATATTTTTGATTATAATAAGGAATAAGAACTGTATTCTATTATGTTTAATTTAGGTATATTTAGCATTATTTCTCACTAAGCCACTCTGCAGTATTGGGGTAGATTTTTTTACACTGCAAAGGCAGCCAGCTTGTACTAAAGTCTCACTGAATCAAACAGAATGTCAATGTATTTAAAGTGTTCCTTATTGAATCAGTAATAAAGACAGGGTTGGATTGAAAATCATACTTGTGTTCAGTCCAAAAGAGTTTCTCCTTACTAGATAAAAGCTGAGAGGTGAACACAGCTAGTTGTTTTCCTTCTCTCCTGTCCATACACAGTGACAACACAGTACTTGCTTACCTTGTCCTCATGGGCTATAAGTTTTTACTGATTGCTTGCTGAAATGACTATTCTTGACAATGAACACAGCTTCTGAATATCAAGTTTCTCATATTTCTTCCTGTGACAGAAGCTCCTTTATAGAAACAGAGAGACAAATGAACTAATAAAAGAAAACCACATCATTTGTGGTAAAGACGAATGCTAGTTTCATTGGAAGAGAAGAGGAATGTCCCATTTCTTTCCAGAGCTCTATGTAACTGCTTGCATGTAAGAAAGTACGGGTGTATGTTCTTACCCTAATGTTTTGAGTTTGTGAAATTGAAGCGTAAAAATTTCTGCTAGGACATTCTTGAATTTTCTGTTATTTCATAATTATCCTTTAATCCATGTACTCACGTAACAATGCACCCTTGTTGTGCAAGCCTGTTTGATTTTTACTGCAGAACCCCAGGGTTCTCTATGTCCTTACTGGAAGTGAATTCTGACAAATGTCTTAATAGCTGAGCCATTTTAGATTGAGCAAGAAGGCATGTCGGCGCATGGATATGTGACAAAGAGCCAGTCCAGTAGGGACTTAAAGGGACAAAATCTTTTTGTCCTCTCTTCCTGAAGCTTCAAGGAAGTTCCAGATGTGCAGTTAGGGTGACTGTTAAAAGATATGGTGACAGACATGTTCCTTTGGAATGAGCGCTTAAGAAATGCTAGAATTTTTTCATTTTCCTTATTTAATTTTTTTCATTCTATATACTAACCCCATTTCCCTCTCCTTCCCCTTCTCCCGACCCTCATCTCCCTCCATCCCAGACCCCATCCACTCTTTAGAGGGGCAAAGCCTCCCATGGGGCATCAACAGAGTCTGGAATACCAAGTTAAGGCAGGTCCAGGCTCCTCCCCACTTCATCAAGACTGTGCAAGGTATCCCACCAGTTCATGCAACCAGGATAAGTCCTGATCCTACCGCCAGGGGGCCAACAAACTGATCACACCACACTACTGTCACTCACATACTGTCACACTACTGTCACTAGGGCCTACCTAGTTCAGTCCCATACAGTCCCTAGCTGTCAGTCCAGAGTCAGTGAGCTTCCATTAACACAGGTCAGATGTCTCTGGCTTTCCCTATCATGGTCTTGCCCCCTTTGCTCATATGATCCCTGCTCCCTCTCTTCAACTGAACTCCATGAGCTCAGCCCACTGCTTGGCTGTGGAACACTACATCTCCTTCCATCAGTTACTGGATGAAGTTTCTATGACAACAGTTAGGGTAGTGACTAATCTGATTGCAGGGGCAGGCCAGTTCAGGCACCCTCTCCACTATGTTGGGAGTCTTAGCTGGGCTCATCCCTGTGGATTTCTGAGAATTTCCTTAACACCAGGTTCCTCCCTAGCCCCCGAATGACTCCTTCTATCAAGATACCTCTTACATTGCTCTTTCTTTTTCTCTGCTCCCCCAACTCAGCCATCTGGATCCCTCCTTTTCCCATCTCCATCCCCTCCATTCTACCCTCCCACCACTCATGGTTTATCCAGGAGATCTCAACTATTTTCCATTCTCAAGGCCTTCCATGAGTCCCCCTCCTAAAATCCTCCTCCTCTTCACCCTCTTCACCTTGTTTCTCTGGGATTATGAATTGTAGCTTGGTTATTCTTTGTTTTGTGTCTAGTAGCCACTTATGAGTGAGTACATACCATGTGTGTCTCTCTGAATCTTGGTTACCTCATTCAGCATATTTTTTTTTCTAGTACCATCTATTTGCCTACAAAATTTAGGTATGAAGTTAGCAATTTTTCTGGAAGCAATATGGAAACAAAATATTTTTGTTCCCAGTTTATGTTGCAGACAAGCTGACATGACACATTAGCTACAGTTTTTTTTTTTTTTTTTTAGTTGTAAAACAGACATCTATAGTATCATGGCTCTTTGCATGAGGAGGAATTAGGATTGCTTTGTAAAGGTAGATTTAGGTCCCCTTAAACTTTCCTACATGCAGATTTCTACTGCTTTGTCTTTACAGGAACTCAAAAGACATCTGAATATGGAGAATAAAGAGAAAAGACATGCCATTCTTTTTTTGATAGCTTTTAAAAAATTCTTTAACAATTTCAAACATGTAGACAATGCTTTACAACATTCCGCTCTTGTTTCCACCTACAACTGCCCCATCGTGGGCGCCCCACCATGAATTCCTCATTAAAGCTTTTTTTTCTTCTTATTTTTTTTAACAAAAGAATTAATTTATTATTTGTATTTATGATTTTTGTGTGTTTATGCTCGTCTCAATTTATGTGACTGACATATGTGCAATTGCACTTGGAGATCACAGGGAAACTGAACCCTTGAAGATGGAGGAGCTACAGGAGACTGTGAGGTCCCTGATGTGGGTGCTGGGAACCTAACCTAGGTTCTCCACAACGGCACTGTGCATTCTACCTCATCTTCAAAAAGTTCTTAATTGGGGGAAATGCTACAGACTGAAGATATGTAAGTAATGAGGAGATGGGACATGAATTTAGAGGAGTCAGGATATAAATGAAGACTGCCAATTCATGAATGAGGAAGTGGCCAGAATAGACTGAGCAAGAGCTAGGACAAGAATTGGGAAGAACTGGGACTCTCTTGCTCAACCAAGTCAGGAGGTTCAGTATATAGATGGGTTAAAAAGACATTTTAGTGGAATTTCAGTTTGGGTGACTGTAAATAAGTGGGTGGATGTCAATGAGACATGTCTGTTATTTGGGCCACAAACTGTAGTGGAGAAGGAATAATAGCTGGATCAGAAAGCTGTCTTGCAGTTAGAGAGACAGTGGCTGTTTTAGCTCTAAAGAGTGAAGAGCATTTCAAAGAGAGAAAAAAGCTCTATGTTTTATCAAAGTGATGGTCTCTGCTTGCTCCCTGGTCAAGTTGCCTCATGTGACTTTTAGTGCCTATGCAAGCAGATGAGCTGGAGTTCTCGCTTCTGCTTTAATGCCGCCAAGTAAAATGACCCAGGAGCATACTTGAGCTTTTTGTTAATGTCTTTGGTTATTTATTGGTACTTAGATCTTCGGTAACCCAATATCTTTACATTAGTCTTTGAATACAAATGTAGTGCTGTATCATAGGAGACACAATACTGAGTAGATATATTCAGGTCTGTGAAACATCAATATGATACGTTCATTTTTACCAAAGGAGGTAATTGTGTATCTAATACTGTCTTTCTAAAATGGCAAATATCAATTCTTTATGTAACGTAAAGACAAATGCATCTATAGTGGATATTGTGTGGTGTGAAAATGAGGTTAGTAAATATCCATTATACTTTCTACCAGAAATTTGACATTCATTGTAAATGGAGCAACATTATTATAAATTATTATTTAGATGAAATCAAGTGTGTGAACTGAATGAGTTATATTTTACAATGTGGGACCTCTTTGCCTGTGGTGTACATATAATGGTGTTTTATTAGGTGATTCCTGACGGGAGGGACACATAAATGGTGATGCCATGTTCTGAACTGATGTAAATTTCAGAAGAATACAGGAAATGGGAGTTTTGATTTAGCTGAATACATTAAATTGTTTGGTTTTATATTTGATATTGATTCTTGTGCAGACTTTATAACAGAAACGCAAATAGTAAAAGGAAGTTCATTCAGCAACAATGTAAAATCCATCTTAAATATTTAATAACTTAATTAAATTTATTTGTGATGTAATCTTCGTTGCCAACTAGAAATTGACAAGGCTCTCATCTCTTAAAATTTTTGTGGGCAGTTTCCCACTGGATTCAATTCATCTCTATTTTTATAAACAGTGATGCATTTTTCATGTCTGCTCAAACTGTGAAGAAACAATATTAAGTAATCATGATACACTAAAATAAATTCAGTGATTGTTTACTAATTTGATCAAATATTGGTATTGTATGCATGTATACTTAGAGGACTCTGATTTGTTTCATTCCAGAGTTCTCTCTATTGGGGTAGTCTGGCTATGCAATGAAGTTGTTTCTTTGGCCAGCTGCCAATGATTGTACTGGACCCTGAGACAAGAATGGGAGTAGACATGGTGGTGATCAGGCTGTCGGTAAGGAAGAATGATGAACCACTATCAACAGACTGTTCACTGTAAAGGGTTTTTGGGGACCAGAGAATCCTCAGACTTATACCTCAGAATTTTATAGGAATTCCCAATGAACTAGTTACAGAAAGCGCACAGAAAGAAGAGAGAGGACCAAATGAGATATCACGGTGATTAATATTCATGTTCTCCTGTATGGAATAATATAAGGTTCCATGCCTGTGTAGATCACTATAATGTGATGGTTTTTAGAAGATAAACAAGACTAGGTTGGAGGAACAGAGTGTATGTTGTAATTATCAGACAAGAAACAGTAGATTATGGGTAGCAGAAAGCACAAGCTTTCTGACTTCCTAGTAACTTTCTTACTGCCTGAAAAATAGTAAACAGTAGTAAATTTTACCTTGAAATTTGCTTCTAAAGGAAAAGAGAAACAATACATGTGGATAAGTGTTTATTTTTGCTACATAACCACATTTAATCAGTGTAAACTATACCCCTTTAGTGAAGTTTATCAAGATTTGATACCACAAGCTGGTCATTTCAGTTCCTTAATCTTGCCTGTTGTAGTAGTACATGCCTTTAATCTCAGCACTCAGAAGTCAGAGGAAGGCAGGTGTCTATGAGATCAAGGATAACCTGGTCTATGTAGTGAGTTCTAGGCCAGCCAAGGCTACATAGTACATCTCTGTCTCAGACAGCAGCACAGTCAATAAGAGCAACAATGAATAAATGGAACCTCCTGAAACTGAGAAGCTTCTGTAAAGCAAAGGACACTATCATTAAGACAAAAAGGTAACCTACTGATTGGGAGAAGATCTTCACCAACCCCACATCAGACATCAGACAAAGGTCTAATCTCCAAAATATATAAAGAACTCAAGAAACTAGACTTTAAAATTCTAACTAACCCAATTAAAAAATGGGGCACTGAACTGAACAGAGAATTCTCAACAGAAGAAGTCCAAATGGCCAAGAGACACTTAAGGTCATGTTCAACACCCTTAGCGATCAGGGAAATGCAAATCAAAACAACTTTGAGATACCATCTTAAACCTGTCAGAAT